CATTTCTGTTGTGGCTATTTATGTGGCTGTATACAAGGTTAATTTTTTTTCTTTTTTTGTGACGGCTGTAAGAACTTGGACTTGATTAAATTTTAATGACCCTAACAGAGTCTTTCATGACCCCTCTGGAACAATATTTAAAAGGGGTGACCTTGCCCCGAGCATATCCATTTTAATGAAACAATAAACGCTGAATTTGTACATTAAGGCCGCAGAGCTTTAATGTCTGACCTGCTTCACAAAGCTGCTAAGGCTTATGAATTAATGTGTTTTCATACATTAAATGGTAATAACTGGTATGCTTGTTTGTCTTTGTGTCTATGGTGTATAATGATGTGATTGTGATGCTGTAATTCTGAGTGTTTTATGTGCTGCAGAACAGGAACCTGCTGTAAAACAGCCATTATGCTGAGTCAGGCTTGATTTTTAGTAATCTTTTCCTGTTGAAACAATAAATCGAATCAAATCAAATCAGTTCTGTAAGATTTTACACTTTTTCTTGTGTTCAACTAAACGTGAGCAGAAGTTCAGATAAATGTGAGCGATTGAAGATTTCATAGAAGCATGAAGACCATTTATAATTCATTCAGAGACGAAAACATCAAACAAGCTAAAGAAGAAGGATTTTACATCTCTGAGTTTCATTTTAATAAAGAAATATTAAATACCTTGGTCGTTGGCCATCTTGTCTGGAAGCTCCACTGAAAGAAAGAACATTTAGAAAAACAGATCAATATTTATTTTGACTTGTTTGCTGATGGTAGTTCATCTGGTCTTTAAAAAGAAACTACTTAGACTCCGCCTCCTTTTGGGTAGAACTCCTCCTCCACTCTGAAACTCCTCAGGAACTAAATGCAGACCCACCTTTAGCGGTCCTGAACTGGACCGGTTCAGACAGAGGGCCGACCCCTTTGGTGTTCTTGGCCTGAATCCTGAAGTAATAAACCGTGTCCAGGTTCAAGTCCAGGACCTGGTGGGTCAGCCGGTCCCCGCTGATGGCCTCCATCACCCAGTCGTCTATCGGGATGTTTTTATCCAGCGTGTAGTACAAGATGTAACCTGTCAATCAAATCACTGTACTGAGACGCTCTTCAGGTTTGATAAACCTTCAACAACTCCTACAGATTCCAGGATTTAATTTATTCAACTGAAAACAGGTTCCAGTGGAGTTTTAACCCTACCCTAACCCTAACCCCAGACTGAGAGAGTCCTCAGACTGGCAGGGACAATCATCCTTAACTCTAATTATTCACTGGAGAAATTACATTTCCTGTCAAACTCAGTGTCAGAGCCTAATGCTGAACGCTTTTAGCTGAAAGATTTTAGCCGAAAGATTTCAGCTGAAAGCTGAAGGTTTAGCAGCAACACTGTAAATGTACCGGTAACTGAAATTTAAACAGCTGACTACTGCTGAAAGCAGGACAACAAAAGTGAAAATTCAGTAGAAACAGCAAAAACAAGGTAAACAAAATCAGAAAAGAGAAAAAAAGGTAGCTAAGATTAGCTGAAAGTACAGTAAAGCTTAAGTAAATGAAACAAGTTAAAACTATCAGACAGACAAGGAAAACAGGGTGAAAAAATAAGTATTTTCAATTTGTCTAGTTTCAGCTAAATTAGCTGGAAATAAGCTTAGCTAAGCTAAATAAGCTGTGCTGAAACTAGCCTACAATAGCTAAAAATGCAGCTGAAATGAGCACAAACAGAAAGAGCATGCTTGCTGAATTAAGCAGGAAGAAGCCAAAATTATCACAAAAAGGTGAATTTAGCTGAAAAGAAAGCTGAAATTAGCTAAAAGGTAGCGAAAAACAGGTGAAATTAGCAAAAAGCAGATATAAGAAGCATRAAACTTTAGTAGAAAATGTCAAACACTGCAAAAAATGTCCATCTAACCAAGTTTTAAAACCTTATATCAGCCAAAAAACTATTTTTGATCYTGTTTTGAGACTGATTTACTAAACAAGAACTGATTGTGTAAGAATAATCATCTTGTTTTCAGAATGTGTAAGATTATTTGTCTTGTTAGTCTGAAAATTTGACTCTAATTAAGTCAAACATTTCTGCCAGTGGAGTAAGAACATTTTACTTAGTAAGACTTCTTAAAATACTTGATTTGACTCAATTTTTTCTTATTTCAAGAATCTTACCAAGTAAAATGTTCTTACTCCACTGGCAGAAAGTTTTGATTTTCAGGCTAACAAGACAAATAATCTTACACATTCTGAAAACAAGATGATTATTCTTACACAATCAGTTCTTGTTTAGTAAATCAGTCTGAAAACAAGATSAAAAAGACTTTTTGGCTGATATAAGGTTTTAAAACTTGTTTAGGAGGACAGTTTTTACAGTGAAATGATAGCTAAAGTTTAAAAAATCTAAAATCAACTAAATAGAAGCCAATGGAAGCTAAAATTAGCATGAAGTAGTTGATAAAAAGCAGAACCAGAACAAAAGGTAAAAAGATCAGCAAAGATTTATGAACATTTTGAAGGGTTTTAACAAAGCTGAACACAGCTCCATTTTTTCAACAAGAAACGGCAGAAAAAGCTAAATATCTCAAAACTGCTGAAGAACCAAAGTCCTAAAGGAGTTGAACGTTTTTTAAACTATTGCTTTGTCATGTGTGTCTTCTTGAATGGGTGTTCTTAAATGTAATTTCATTGTGCTCCGTACAATCAATCAATCAATCAATCAATCAATCAATCAATCAATCAATCAATCAATCAATCAATCAATCAATCAATCAATCAATCAATCAATCAGCTGAAACTTGGGCTCTTGGTGGTTTGTTTACCTGTGATTCGGCCGTTGGCCTCCATCGGAGGCTGCCAGCTGATGAGGACGGCTCGAGGACGCCCCTCTCGACTGATCACTGTCAGGTCTTTGGGGGCGGAGCTTGGAGCTGTCAGTTAAGCAGAGAGAAGTCACAACAACAGTGGTTAGCGGTCCCAGACCAGGACCAGGACCAGGACCAGGACCCAGGAGTCCCTCTGATGACCCGGTTCCACTTCTCCCTCCTTTAATCTGCTGTTTAAATGATGCGAAGCAGGAAGCTTTCATTAGCCGCCCTGTTGCAGCGCTCCCGCAGTGAAAATGTCAAGCAGCCCCCCCCCAGACCCCTTTTAACCTCGCCGTCACCATGGCAACCAGACGGCAGCCCAGCCGACCTCTGGTAAGTGGCAGCTTTGTGTGTTTCCTTTAAGTGATTAAAGAGGAGGGTTTTTTTTTTCTAAAGTTGCACAGCGGGGCCGGACTCGGCGCTCCCGTAGCATACAGGGCTAATGAAACCGCTTGTTAAAGCTGACAGGCTGAGCCGCAGGAAATTACAAGTTCCAGCTGAGTCTGTGAGTGACGGCGACAAGCGCCACTTCTCATAAACACCCCGAGAAAATCAGCCGGGCCGGAAAAATAACATGTCCAGGTCTGAATCAGATCAGATTACAGCTATCAGTCATGGCTAAGAGCTGAGGTTACAGCTAAATAATAATAATAATAACAATAATAATAATAATAATAATAATAATAGGTATTAGAGAAGTGTTCAGACGTTTAACAGATTCTAAAGATACATTCAGACAGGTGGCTGAGAGCTGCGCTAACACCTGATTCTTCACGCTAAATGAGGGAAATCATGTTTTAAACAGATGTTTTAGAGAACATCTGGTTCAGCTTCTCCACACTGAAGCACGGCGGCRGCAGCATCRTGATGTGGGAACATGGTCCGAGCTGTCGGAACAACAGATTTAAAACATACGGATAATAAACCTGTCCTGATAAGTTCAGCTGCTCCTTTTAGCTTGAAGCTTCACTTTGTTAAATGTAGCTAACACTCTGCTCCTTTTAGTCACCTTTTTCATTCAGTTTATCTTATTTTAGTTTTCAGTTTTCCTTTTTTTTGGCTACTGTTTCTTTTTAGCTACTTTTCCTCCGTTCCTTTTAGATATATATTTACACATTTTAGCTACTATTTTGTTCCTTTTAGCTACCAATTACCTCAATGTAGGTATTATTATATTCCTTTAAGATATAAATTTTCTCCTTTTAGCTACCATTATGTTGCTTTCAGCTAGTTTTCCTCTTAGCTACAGCGTTACCCCCTCGAGCTACTATTATTTTCCTTTTAGCTATATATATCTACCAAATGTCCTTCTTTTAGCTAACATTGTGTTCTTTCTAGCCACCAATTTTCTCCTTTTAGCTACCATTATGTTGCTTTCAGCTAGTTTTCATCTTAGCTACAGGGTTACCCCCCCCCCACGAGCTACAATTGTTTTTCCTTTTAGCTATATATATCTACCAAACGTCCTTCTTTTAGCTAACATTATGTTCTTTCTAGCTACCAATTTTCTCCTTTTAGCAACCATTATGTTACTTTTAGCTACAGTTTTCATCTTTTTTGCTACTATTTAGTTCATTTTAGCTACAATTATGCTACTTTAAGCTAGTTTTTCTTTTAGCTATAGGGTCCACCCGAGCTAAAATTATGTTCCTTTTCACTAGTTTTCCTGTTTTTAGCTAACATTTTGTTCCTTTTAGTTACAGTTCTGCCTTCAGCTACCACTGATTTAGATTTTACCATTGATTTTAGCTAGTTTTCATCCCTTTAGCTACTATTTTGTTTTTCTTATCTTTTATTCTCCTCATTTTATTTTGAACAGTTTCGATGTCTTCAACAAAAATCATTTAGCTCAATGTGTTTTTGAAAAAGCTAAATTCTAGCAATAAATGTAATTTAACACCTTCAATATTAGCGCGTTAGCTTTAAGCCACTTTGACCCAAACATTTTATGTTTAAAGGAACGCTGTTAAATATTGGTTTTCCATTAGAACTGAGCTGAATGAAGAGTTCCTGGAAATCTAAAGCTGATATTTCTGCAGAACTTAAAGCTGCTCTGACTCAGATCACATTCATATCATTCAAACGACCTTCAAACCTCCAAACATTAAATAAAACATGAACTTTCTCTGACCTCAGAGTCTGTGAGGAGAACCTTTTACTGGGAAATTCAAACAATCAAACATGAATCTTTTTAAATCTGTTCAGGATCAGGTCAAGTGTTCACCTCAGTTATTTTTAATCAATGTTTTCTTCTGTCAACCTACATCTGAGAGCTTTTTTCTGTTTTTACTCAGAAATGAGAAGTTTTCAGTTTGAAGCATTAAAGCCCACAAACTGGTCCAGGTCTGGACTTGAATAGTCCTGACATCAAAATCCAAAATGTTCGACTCCACCATGAAAAACTGTGGTTTCTGCAGGACTCCAATCACACACAGAACTTTGGCTCCTCCTCCTTTTGGGGAAAATAACTTAGGCCCCGCCTCCTTTTGGGGAAAACAACTGAAGGTATTTACTGATAAAAAACTCAGCTTCTAAAAAGATTCAAATAGTTTAGAAGCTTCAAGGTTCCAAATATTGTTGTCTGTCAGTAAAATATTTATTTAATGTTCCTGCAGATCAGCAAGAACAAACAATAAATAAAACAATTTAAAAACATATTATTTAGCTGCTTTAGTTTGTCGTTTTGGCTCATTGTTATAACTAGACGTTACCTTCAGCTGATTATTTAGCATATATTGAGCTAAAGTGTCATGTGGTGGTAGCTGACAGTCATCCTCAACACAACCTCTGAGCTGACAGAATAAAGTCATTTAAAAGTTCAGCTAAAACAGCTAAAATTATCTCTGCAGCTAAAACGAAGCAAACAGAAACAGCTTTTATTATTTTCTCTGGTTTCTTCAAGAGCCCGTCCAGAACCGTAGAGTCGGGTCTGATGCCGGGTTCTGAGTTAAACGGAGGTTTTTATCTGCGGATCTCAACAGGTGTGTTTGGGACTTGATCTGATTTAAAGGGTGGCGGGGGGGGGGGGGGGGG